AAATGCCACTTTCGTCGCGATTTATGCAAAAGCGTTGCACCGTAAAGTGTTTTAATTGTTTATTCAATATTTAGTGTTGCCAGCACTTCGTCCTATGATACAACCAGTACAGTGGCAATGGCAACACAGTTTCGCCGGCGTTATTCTGTTTAATTACAAAGCGGAAACGAGCGCAGATGTATTCTATGTTGTTATGCTATTAACGAAGACCCAGGACGGTCAAAAACAATGAATTATCATGTGGGAAAAATGCTGAATTTCAGTCCCGTTCGAAAATTTATACCTGTTGGGGTTTTCTTGGAACATCTGAGCCGACCAACGTAAGGGAAGAAATAACTGGGTGGTGCATACCGGACTGGGCCAAATCAAGATTACAAGAAAGTCAGTTTGCTATTAGTGAATTATAAAATAGAGTGTATTCCTTTCAATGGAGTATTTTTTATAAAACCTGAATGACAATCTTGGACATGTTTGTTAACTTCCCGTAGGGTAAGTTATTGTAATAGGCCGAAAATCGGAATTGAAAATTTTTACATTTCTCGACGTTTTGAAGCTTTCTGAACATTTTGGCATACTTCAGAAAAAATTGATGTGTGTGTATGTGTGTGTATGTGTGTGTATGTATGGATACAATTTTTCGTCCACGTTTTCGGGCGTACGGATCAACCGATTTGAATGGTTCAAAAAACGTTCGATTCCTACTGATAAGGAGATGTGCTGATTAGTTTTTGGCAAAGTTAGGTACAGCCATTACGGAGATATGAAGCAAAGAGTTCAGAAAATACAAATCGAGTTTTTGAGAGAACAGAGTATCCGATTGGAATGATCTAAAAAAACATTTAATTAGTAATGATTGGGAGAAGTGTTTATTAGTTTTTTGCAAAAGAAGGCCCAGCCATTTCAAAGATACGGAGCTAAATGTACAAAAAATGGCAGTTTGTGAGAGAACTAAGCGCCCGATTTTAATGATTCAAAGAACGTTCTGCTTGTTCGTCATGTTTTTGTACCAAAAGTTGCAAATTGTTAAATGCAGTTATGTAGAGAATTTTATAAGCTTTTTATCTATGTGGAATAAAATTTATGTGCTTAAACTAGTTTTTGCATAATTTTTTATGCATAATTTAAATAAATGTCGGAAAATGTGCTCGCAAACCAATTCTTATCGATTAAGCTGATTATTTACGCCTGTCATGCAACTTGCCTTAAGGCAAAGTGCCACTTACATCTAATTAATTTTATATTTAACATTAAATATGTTTACATACAGATCCAGAATCTTTCTGACCACTTCTCGATTTATTTTTTCCTTTATAAATCAAGGCTTGTTGAGTTATATTTCTATTTGTAATTCCTCGAGAAACTCGGGCTTTTTTCGGATGATAATATTTATAATTAACACAATCAATACTAAATAATTAATTATAAACAGTTATAATAATTTTTTTCACCATTGTTTATCATTATTCCGAATATATATATATATATATATATATATATATATATAAATGTAAATATGAATTGTATATATATATTTATATATATATATATATATAAATATATAAATGTATATATGAAGGTATACTTCATATACTAGTATACAGTTGTTTTCATATATATCTAACCTTACTTTGGTGTCAATTGTAACAAAATAATTACTTATCTTGTGTTTTATTTTTATTTCATAAGACATTCTTATTATTTGCTTGACAAATTGTAATAGTGTTAATTTTTGAAAATTTGAGAAATTGTATCATTATTTTTGCAGTTCACAGTTCCAACATTTAAATCAACAAATTTAGTAAAAACTAACCACAATATTCGAAAAATAGTCAGAACTGTACCAAATGTCTTGGTTGCACTTAAAAGCTCATAATTTTCAAACAAGTCGAGACAATTTTTTTATAATTTTTTTAGGACAGTTGCAGTTAATACTATCACCTCAATTGAACTTGATGTTGAGTTCTGGAACACCCTGTTAACGTCTGCTGCATGTTTTATAGATATTATTGTTTGCCTTATATCAGTCCTTCATTATTTATGATTTCAAATAACATAATAAACATTATCTAAGCTTTGAATGAGAACATATACTCAAAATTTGCATTTTTCGATTTCTATTCTGCTGCTTGAATCTTTGGAACTTGATAAAGCTCAGCTCGAGCTTTCGCATTGAAAAGTTACCTGTATGCGATATCATTATACGAAAGATAATGATGAAACCATAGTAAGCGGAAACCATTGTAATGAATAATCATTATGTTATTCAGGATGAAATCAGAGCTCAGACAGCAATTTAGGGATATTCTAAAAATGCATGCAATTTTAAAGCGGTTGAAATTATCTAGCAAACCAAATCACTTATGTAATGTAATAATTTTGTATTTATTAACATTCCGTAGGGTAAGTTATTGTAATGGGCCAAAAATCGAAATTGAATTTTTTTACATTTCTCGACGTTTTGAAGGTTTCTGAACATTTTGGCATACCTCAGAAAAAATGGATGTGTGTGTGTGTATGTATGTATGCATACAAATTTCCAGTCACGTTTTCGCGCGCACGGATCAACCGATTTGAATGGTTCAAAAAATATTCGATTCCTATTGATAGGGAGATGAGCTGATTAGTTTTTGGCAAGGGCAGGTCCAGCAGTTACGGAGATAAAAAGCAAAGAGTGCAGAAAATAGAAATCAAGGTTTTGAGAGAACGGAGCATCCGATTTGAATGATCTAAAAAACATTCAATTAGTAATGATTGGAAGAAGTTTTTATTAGTTTTTGGCAAAGGCAGGCCCATCCATTTCAAAGATACGGAGCTAAATGTACAAAAAATGACAGTTTTTGAGAGAAATAAGCGTGCGATTTAATTGATTCAAAGAACTTTCTGCTTATCTTAATAAAATAATTGATTTTGGAAAGAAAAATTTTTGTTTCAACTTTTTTTTTCTTTTTTTTTAAATTTTTTGTATATCGAAAATAATTCAGATTTTATTCTTAATTTTGACTATAGTTCTAATATACTTAAGACAAATAATTTCATCTTTGCAATTCAGTTCATATAATTTTTATAAATATTAGTCAATATTAGAATATTAATAATAATAATCTATTTGAAATCATTCAGTATTCCTCGAACATTTCGTTACGGTGCGGGAAATTCCAGCTATTTGCCTTAAGGCACGATGCCATACACCCCACTAGTTTATTATTTTATTATATTGCTTACAGGGTAAATTTTTGATATTATGAAGTGATTTTTACACTTGACCAGACATGAACAAGTAAAACCGCGGGAAAGAAAATGACTTTTGCAATTGATTCTAGTGAAAATGTTACTTATTTCACATGTTATAAAATAATATTAAAATGTATGCACAAAAATTTTAATAAAGCCAGAAAATTAAATACATCAATTGTAAAAACAACACCATTACAAAGTCAATATTTTATTCACATATAATTGAAATAGTTTGGGGTAGTAGTAATATAATAGGGTAATTGTTTGGGGTTTGTAATGTGCGATAAATTTGCTCGCTTCTGTAATAAAAATCCACCTAAAATTATTTATTTTTTGCGTATATAAATCGGAAAATTATTTTCATATTACAAAAAATTTAACTTTGGCCATTTACATTTTGTTGCCATATTCCAGCAGCAGTTTGTACGAATATAAAATAATATGTACCGGTGTAATTTTCAAGACCGCTGGCGCATAAATACAAAGGGAATATTATTCGCTCTTCTCCACTTTGTTTTTTATTTGTCTTTTTACTTTTGTATATAATTACCCGAGAGTTTTCACGCTCAGAGAGATTTTTTATTTGTTTAGTTATTTTTAATACTTTTGATACTGAAAATATACATCTTTAGCATGTCTTTCAAGAAATGTGAAACCTGTTTCATAATGGACTATTTTCATTTTTTTATATTTATTCATATCGAGAATTTTCTCTCGAACTAGCATTATACCACAATTCATGAAACTTACTTAAAAATCATGATATGTTTATGGCTAAATTGAGAGTTACTCCCACAGTCTAGTTTTTAGGTGATAATATTTCCATTACAAGTATTATTTATAAAAATATGTGAATTCTGTTTTACTGCACATAAAAATACCAACTAATACATGTACAAATCTCGGCCCATGTAAAATTTTACACAGAGCAATATAAACGTAAATTACAGGACTTTGGAAACAAATATTTGCATGTATGTTTATGGTTTGAGATTTGTTATTACGACATAAACAACGTTTTATTATTATGTGCACAATAAAAAGTTTATACGAGTAGCAAACAAAATATATTATAATATTATTCATATTTAATTTTATCTCTGAACATTTTTACAAACATGAAGGTAAATAGAATTACCACTTCGGATGTGATTCGGCACTTTGGGAGAAGAGAGGCAAATATAAATAAATATTAAAAAATCTGTTCACACACAAACACACACACATACTTTTTCCAGATTTCAGAATGGCTTGAAACGTCGGGAACATATAAAATTAGCGAATCGGATTTTTTTATGAAAACAAACTTCTCCTTCGGGAAGTTAATAAATCAAGTAATAATATAGTAGACAACAGTGTATATTATTATTCATATTTAATTTTATCTTTGAATTTTTTTACATTCTAAGAAGGTATATAAAATTACCTCTTCGATTCTGATTTATGTAGAACAGAAGCCAATTTAGATTAATATTATAAATTTGTCAATTAAAATTAATTATAGAGTTATAAACCTATTTTAAAAATTAAAGACGTCTTCACTTTCTATAATATTAAATTAAAATGTTTCGTTGTTTCAATAATACACACTATTTTCTAAAATAAAATTTGAACTCAAGAAGCAATATAACCCATAATTTTTTAACGTATCTTAGAACTTGGGTGTGTAATTTCATAATTTAATTATTTTATAATTTATTATGATCAAAATATTCAAGAAGACGTTTCACACTTTTTCAGGATTAGCAGAAATGTGCACAATTTTTCATCCAGATTTTTCAAGAAATCTTGAACGAGTTTTGAAATTTTAAAAACGAGGAATAGAGCTCAATAATTTTGGACAAAAATCAGCGTAGAGCTTCCAATACCAAACTAAAATCTGAAAACCAGGATTAGATGAAAGGACAGGATAAAAAATGGTACAAACGAGACCAATTGGAATTATTGAACATTAGACTAAAATATAAGCAAACCCAGTTTTAGGAGATTTTAGAATATCGATATTAGAAGTTCTACTAGCGCGTATAATCTTCTGAAGCCACTGTTCGTTTCTTGGTAAAGATTTAACTATAAAATATATATTACATATTAATTAAATATTTGAACAAACTTATAGCAAAGTTAATCAAAATATTAATTAATAGTTTAATTAATAATCTGATTATTAATTATCATGATTCAACTATTTAGTTCTTACCAAGTTTTACTACCATGGATCTTCTTCTACTCAATGATGATTTATCAGAACGGACTTTTAGCAAAGTTAATTAAAAATATTAATTAATCGTTTAATCTACAAAGTGTTCGAGATGGCCAGTCGCCACATTCGCAGAGCTTAAAAACCAATTCCGATCTCTTTAAAGAGCAAAACTCTAATACCACTAATTGAACATCATCGCGCACAGACTACGCTTCCCGCTTCGTATTTTATTATGATTAAAAAAATCGCTTTAATTAAGTTTAAAACCAATTTCTCTTTTGGTCGGAGAATCCCCGACAGTTCCTGGCCGTAACCGTGTTCTCTGAATAACGTAGAATTCGGTTTGATGCTTAAATAATCATGAGAGTTTCTTTGAATTATTTGCCATTTCTCTTCCCACTGCAGGTGGAGATTTACCCGGAAACGAATCGTTCTTATCCCACTTTGCCCGTTGTAAATAACTTCGTACATTTGTTACACAACAAGATCAATGTTGTGGAATGTACCATACACTATATAGTCACTTAGAGGGCACATTGGAATTATCAAAAGAAATAGTACAATTGCAGTAGTACAATACACTTTTTCAAATAGTGAACTAATCAAAATGTAGTTAAATTTATAAACACTTTAGTCAAAGACCAGAAGATTTTGTATTTTAAAGTCATTGTTTGATCTTGAAATTTCACTTGTTTATTTTAAGACAGGTGCAAAAATTACTATACTGTATTAAAAAGATAATCTACGGATATGTGGCTTTTTAGAATAAGGCAAATGCATAAAATTTCTCATACGTGTAACTAATCGATTTTAATAAAACCGAAAAAACTGTAATTTTAAAATTATAAAGAGACTATAAAATTCTACTATGTTTCTTTAGACCACAAACTCTATTGCCAATAAAATACAATGAAAAATATTTTTTAACTATTATGAATAGTTATGCATCAGGATATCAGTTTTTAAAAGCCGGTTTTATTAATTGGTTTTCAGGGAAAAATTGAGAATTTCGAAATTTGTTATTTTAGTACTGTTGCAAATCAAAAGCTGTTTTTCGTAATCAAACTAATCAAAATGTAGTTAAATTTATAAACACTTGAGTCTATTATTTAATTCCTTCATTTTCATCTATCAATTTTCAAAATCAATGACAATGACCAGAAGAATTTATATTTTAAAGTCATTGTTTGATCTTGCAAGTTTACTTGTTTATTTTAAGACAGGTGCAAAAAGTACTATACTATATTAAAAAAAAGATGTTTAAAAAAATCAACAGTTGTGATAAACTAGATAAACTAAGGATATAGGGTTTCTAGAATAAGGCAAAATAAAATAAAATAAAATTAAATTATATTAATAAAATCGTAATTTTAAAATTCTAAAACGCTTCCTTAAGTGCTATAAGACACATTTAAAAATTATGGATTGCATTGCTTTTGGGTTAAAATTTCTTGCTAAATATTAATGAATTTTATGATGCAACCACTTTTCCATGTTATACACGATAAAAAATATTTTTTAACTATTATGAACAAATAGTTACCCACCAGGGTATGTCGGTTTTTAAAAGCCGATTTTATAAACTGGTTTTCAGGCAAAAATGATAATTGCAAAGATTGTTATTTTAGTTGAAATTACCGGGATTCAATATATAAATTTCACTTAAAAAATATTGAAAGTGACTAATGTAGCGAAATGTACCGGATTGATAAAAACACTGATGCAAATCAATAGCTGATTTTCGTTTGACTTTTATAATAATATTTACACCCTTATATGTGGAAAATCATAGACCTGGGTCAATTATTATCTATTCATCTACAAAATTGCATAAAAAAATTATCAAGAAAATTGAACAATAAACAATGTTAGTCAAAAACTACATTTAATCACTTATAATTTTCTGTAAAAAAAATGTATATAAATTTAAATTTATTTAAATCGGGCAATTAGTATTTTTACAAAAACTAAAATCTGGTTATAACCAGTTTTCTGAAAAAAATACTATTCAGAAATCAGTTTTCTAAAATCTTAGTTTTTGTATTATGCACATTTTAAATATTAAACGATTTATTATATCATGTTACAAGTATATCATGTTAATTTAACATAAATTTAGCGTGTAATAATATATTATCTATGAAGTTCATATATAAATCAATTTCAGCAATGACAAACTATTTCCTTCCCGTAGTATATTATACATAGTGCACAGTTTACTCTTGGTGCAGTCAGAAAGAAATAATATAATGAATTGCTATTTTCACTTAATATAAATCTCTACGATGACAAATATCTTAAAAGCTCGGTGAGTCCAAGTTTAAGTAAATCCGCCGAGTTGAAAAAATTCTTATCAATTATTCATCATAAGCATGATTTAAGATATTGCTGTAATAAAACATACTTTGAATACAAATTTTGTTTATTCACTTTGTACATAGTAAAATGCTTTCATGTAATATATTATAACTGGAATAAAAAAAACGTATAAAATAAATTGCCCTGTATCAAATTTATGTAGTCCACACAAAAAATTTGGATACTTATGCATTATATTGAACCTTGTTATAATTAAATATTTGTATATTTTTCAACAATGTACAAAGCACGAATAAATTAATGAAATACCAAACATTTTTAATATTAAATTATTTGATATCATCTTACAAATACATTTTGTGTAACCAAACACTATTTTCTCATATTTCATTCCGCCTCACCGATCTCGTTTTATATGTAGAGATATGATGCTGTTTTATAATTATTGTTCCATAATTAAAAACGTGCTACAATTCTAATTTAATTTTACTGGTGTTGTAAAAATGAATTTGCATACATTGCGCCGAACTATAAACAAGCGATACTCGAGTAAAAAACGGCGTAATCAGCATTTGTTTCAAATTATTTTTGCATAATCTATTTTATCAGAGAGCTTTTCTATAATAATAATGCAAATACGAGTATATGGAAAATAAAAATGCGGTGAAGTATGAGGCTTATGCATAAATAGCCGATTAGTAGAAATGATTGCTTATTAAATATATATTATGCAAGTAAAGTATTTTTGGACGTCAGTTTAGAGATCTTTAGAAACTTTAATATTTCCATTGAACGCTTATGAACAAAATTCGAGAAAATTTAATTTCCACCTCGTTTACATAATTTATTATTATTCACCTGGCCTGTTTTTGACATTAATCTTAATTTCTATTCATGAAATCAATTTTCGTTCTGCCATTGAGTAATAATTCAAGTTCCTACCCTCGGCATCTCCATTAATCGGTCCGTGACTTCACCAATATCTCAGCTTTTATACTAAAATTATTTCTCATACTCCTTCGCCGTTATCGCTGTTGTTTTATTACTCCCAGGATGTTTACAAAGGATTTTATATAAAGGGTACGTTGAACTTAACGAAGACCTTATATAGAACAGAGGAAAAGTACTAGGTAATCTTTTTTATTGAAATTACATATATTTCGACTTATTTGTACATTTGTAGTTAAATATTTTTATTTTTGTGGGGAATCAAGCAGGCTAGACATGGTGGAAAAACAATATATTTTGTCATTTTATTTATCATAAAATTTTGTAATTAATAAATTGTTTATATTTTCATCCAATGGATTTTACATATTTATAATCATAACTTTTTCCTACATTATACACTAGTAAATATAAAATAATATTTGTTAAACTTACCCTAACTTAAAAATAACAATACATCTTATAAAACAATAAATGGCGTGTACTTAAAAAAAAGAGTGCGCGTAAGGTTCACACGCGATTGAAGTAAAACTTATTTGCTACTGTACAAATAGCAATTTAAGTGAAAATATATACATCATATAACAATTTTGAATAATGTGTTTATTAGTAACATGGTAACACTCGTGATGCACATTTATATAATGATAAATTATAAATTATATATTTATAATAGCATTAAAAAATGTTTAATATTTAAAAACAATAATGTAATTAAAGTCATACTTCAAATACGACACGATCGGTTTGTCATTATAATTAAATATTTAGAAATGAACCTTTATTAGAGAAATGAAGTAATTGCTGATCAAAAAATTCCATAATATTCATTCACTTCACTCATCATGTTGAAAAACTTCATGTAATTAAAATTAACAAAAATTCATTGACTGATGGTATTTTTTTTTACTTTTTTGCTGGCTATATAATCTCAATCTTAGAACAGCTGTAATATCTGTTTTGTCTAAACAATATTTTCCATTTCAATATAGAAATAGCATAATATAGAAATAATTTTTATTCAATAAACTTACGTTTAGTACACGACACAAATGCTTAATTTGTTTTATTATTTTCAAGGAACAGGGTAAAATATTTTTCTGATTCAAGGATTTTTTATTAAATCAAGATTTTTGCACGATGTAACTTTAAAATGTTTATTTATCTATTCCGATTTCCTTGTCGATATCGGAACGCATACAACGACAGGTCTCTATTCACATACACGACGACCAATCACAATTGACCCGTATAGAAATGATATCATCGAGAGCGAATGACGAATCATTGGCACTCAACTTTTATCTTATATTATCTGCCGTAACGCACTTCCGTTGCATTTGTACGGATTTACACCCTAGTCGCGCCTAAAGAAGTTTTACTTCAATTATATTCAGCATGGTGCTCAAAACAAAAAAATATACCTATGGTGAAAAATTGACAAAGTGGCTA